GCAGTCGAGCTGCGCGTGCGCGCCGGGGGGGAGCAGGCTCGGCCAGCAAAGGCTCTGCTGGAGTCGCTGGAGTCCTGAGTCTGCATCGCCTGGGTTCCCCGCCCTCCTAAGGCCCTGGCCTCCACCGAGGGCCTGCTTACATCCCTCCTCTTCAAGCCTTCCTGCCAGCCCCAGCCCCCAGTGATCCCGAACTGTGAATTCCTCCTCCTCCCAAGGCTTCTGCCAACTCTTTTTTCACGTTTCATTGACCGCCCTCAAGTGTTAGTTACCCTGCTAATCTCTCCAACGCTGTTGTAAGCTCCTTGAGGATCAGGGGAATAGGTTTTAGAGTTAAGTGTTTTCTTCACACCCCTTGGCAACGCCGCCTTCCCTCCTTGCTGCTGACATCCAGCCCACTGAAGTCAAGGAGACACGGAAAGCCTTGTGCTGAGCTGGGACTATCGAGCAAGGCTTCCCACTTGAATTATGATCCTTCCTACACCGTTTGTCTTTTGTTTTGCAAGAGTCATGGTTTCCTTTGAGTCTTTCTGTCAATTTCTTTATCCCTTGGCTGGATATCAGAGCAAGTTTGTCCTACAAGGCCCAACAGTTTGGTGTCCTTGGACCCATCTAAAGTCAGCAGCAGAGTGTGATGAAAAAAAATGAGACCGACTTATTAACTTTCTCTTTTAGTCTCTGGCTTTTTCTTACTTGCTTTGTTATAAATTTCAAGTACGTAATAACCTTCCTTTATCCTTAAAACACCGCCTCGCTGTTGCTAAACTTACTAAAGGCATACACGCTGAGCTGAGCTTCACAGAAAGATAAAATTTCAGGAAAAAAAAAAAAACAGAATACTTGGAAGACATTTGAAATAGGTATTGGCCCCACTGTGAAGCAACCATTTTCAAATCATCTATGCTAGAATTTAGTCAGCATTCCAGAAAACTGCCTCTTGTCTTCTTTACCCTCCAAGGGGAAAACCTTATAAACTGTATTTAAGAATTATTTTTAAAGTACATGTAGGATTAGAGGCCATGATTCAGTCAATGAAGTGTTTGCTTCGAAAGCATGAGGACCTGAGTTCAATCCCCCAGAGCCCACTTTTTTTTTTTTTTAAGCCAGGCACCGTTATGTTGCTGTTGTAGAACATTTGTACATGATGTGAAGATGTGTTGCTGTAATTGGTGTAATAAAAAGCTGAACAGCCAATAGCTAGGCAGGAGAGATAGGTGAGACTTCCAGGCAGAGAAAGGTAGATGTCATAATTGAGGTGCAGAGGAGACACCATCAAGACACAAATGGACACAGAATGAGTCAGACACACACAATGGGAGAGAGGTAAAAGCCATGTGGTAAAAAATAGATTAATAAAAATATGGGTTAATTTAAGTAGTAAGAGCTAGAAGGCCAAGCCTAAGCTAATGGCCCAGCTTTCATAATTAATAAGTCTCCTTGTTGTCATTTGTGAGCTGGTGGCTGACAAAAAAAAAAAAAAAAAAAGCTTGCTACATGTTGACAGACCTGTAATACCAGAACTGACTAAGGAGAGACTAGAAGATCCTTGGTAAATGCTGGCCAGCCACTCTAGCTAAACCAGCAAGTTCCAAGTTCAGTGAGAGACTCTGTTTCAAAAACTGAAACAGAGAGTGACTGAAGGAGACACAGGACTTCAGGCCTCCACACTCACAAGTGCCTAATGCATACACATGAACACACATATGGACACACAAAAAAAGAAAAACGACATAAACTTGTCTTACAAATAGCTACCATATTGAACATTTAACATTTGCTTAGTCCAATGACGATTTTCAAATATAAATTCACTCAATTATTGTTTTATGTTAAATTAGATGTCATCAGAACTTAGTGAAGAAACTGAGACTTCAAAGGTCAATGTAATTTTTCTGACTTTCTGTGTTTTAAATCCATTTAACTCTAAAATTGATGTGTTTGATCTGTATGGATATTTGAAACAAAGCGTTCCATTCTGAAAATATATGAGATTTCACTGGGATTAGCACTGGGAATTCTAACTATAGTTCATAGGTTTGGCTTGCAGTAAATATGAGTGAATCATATTGGTTATTTATTTGTTCATTTCATTTGACCCTAGAAAGATTCTTTAAAAAATCAATGAAATCTATTAAGTTTTATATTCTGTTCAATTTTTCAACTCAATATTTCAATTGATAGATGACAGACAGATAGATAGACAGATAGATAATAGGTAGTTAGATGATAGATAGATGGATGATAAATAGATGATAGATAGGTGATAGATAAATAAATAGATACAGTATGTATTTACATAGATAGATGATAGATAGCTGCAAGTATGTTTGGACATATGCTTAACTTCTTGGGAGCATCTCTTTGAGCCCTTTGAACTTTGTTTTATTTTCTGGGTTTGGTATTGTTGATTTTGTTTGTTTGTCTTGAGATAGCGTCTCAGAATGTAGTTTCAAACTCATGGACATCTGGCATTAGTCTCCCAAGTGTTGGGTTTGAAGGCCTGAGCCATCATGCCTGACTATTTGACCGTTTTTTTTGTATTCATTATTTTTTTATTTAAATTAGTGACAAGCTTGCTTCACATGTAATCCCAGCTCCCTCTCCCTCCCCTCCTCCCCTGTCCCACACCACCCTACCAAGCCCCCACCACATACCCAACCTCTCCCCATGGAGGTTGAGGCCCTCCATGGGGGATCTCCAAAGTCTGTCATGTCATCCCAGGAAGGGCCCAGGCCCTCCCCCATGTGTATAGGCTGAGAGATCATTCCTCCATGTGAAATGGTCTCCCAAAGTCCATAGCTGCACCAGTGATAAATACTGATGTACTACCCAAGGCCCCATAGATTGCCAAGGCCTCCTCACTGACACCCACATTCAAGGAGTCTGGATCAGTCTCATGCTGGTGTCTCAGCCATCAGTCTGGGGTCCATGAGCTCCCCCTTGTTCAGGTCAGATGTTTCTGAGGTTTTCACCAGCCTAGTCTTGACCCCTTTGCTCATCACTCCTCTATCTCTCTCTCTCTGCAACTTGGTTCCAGGAGTTCAGTTCAGTGTTTAGGTGATTGGGTTACCTCCCTCAGAATGGTTTCTTCTAGTGCCATCTATTTGCCTGCGAATTTCAAGATTCCATTGGTTTTTTGTTTGTTTGTTTGTTTTCTGCTGAGTAGTACTCCATTGTGTAAATGTACCACATTTTCTCTATCCACTCTTCAGTTGAGGGGCATCTAGGTTGCATCCAGGGGCTATTACAATATTACATAGTTGAACAGATGTCCTTGTTGTATGAATGTGCATCTTTTGGGTATATGCCTAAGAGTGGAATTGCTGGATCTTGTGGTAGACTCATTCCCATTTTCTTGAGGAATCTCCATACTGATTTCCAAAGTGGCTGTACAAGTTGGCACTTCCACCAGTAGTGGAGGAGTGTTCCCCTTTCTCCACATCCTCACCAGCATAAACTGCCATTGGTGTTTTTGATTTTAGCCATTCTGAAAGGAGTCAGTTGGTGTCTCAGAGTTGTTTTGATTTGCATTTCCCTGATGGCTAAGGATGTTGAGCACTTTCTTAAGTGTCTTTCAGCCATTTTAGATTGAGAATTCTCTATTTAGTTCTGTACCCCATTTTTAATTGAATTATTTGGTGTTTTGGAGACTAGCTTCTTGAGTTTTTTGTATATTTTGGAGATCATCCCTCTGTCAGATGTGGGGTTGATGAATATCTTTTCCCATTCTGTGGGCTGCCGTTTTATCTTGTTGACTGTGTCCTTTGCCTTGAAGAAAATTCTCCGATTCAGGAGGTCCCATTTATTAATTGTCAATCTCAATGTCTGCGCTACTAGTGTTATGTTCAGGAGGTAGTCTCCTGTACAAATTTGTGCAAGAGTACTTCCCATTTTCTCTTCTAAGAAGTTCAATGTGGCTGGATTTATGTTGCAATCTTTGATCCATTTGGACTTAAGTTTGGTGATAGATATGGATGATCTGTGGTCTTCTACATGCCAGCGTCCAGTTATGACAGCAACATTTGTTGAACATGCTTTCCTTTTTTGATCACATAGTTTTAGCTTCTTTCTCAAAGATCAGGTGTTCATATGTGTGTGAGTTGACATCACTGCCTTTGATTCAATTCCATTGGTCTACATGTCTATTTTTGTGCCAATACCAAGGTGTTTTCGTTACTATAGCTCTATAGTATAGCTTGAAGTCAGAAATGGTGATGCCTCCAGAAGTTCCTGTACTGTACAGGGTTCTTTAGGATATCCTGGGGGTTTTTTTTCCATATAAAGTTGAGAATTGTTCTTTCAAGGTCTGTGAAGAATTGTGCTGGGATTTTGAGAGAAATTGCATTGAATCTGTACATGGCTTTTTGGTAAGATTGCCATTTTAAATATGTTGATCCTAGCTATCCAAGAGCATGGGAGATTTTTCCATTTTCTGGTATCTTCTTTAATTTATTTTTTTAATGACTCAAAGTTCTTAACATACAGGTATTTCACCTGTTTGGTTAGAGTTACTCCAAGATATTTTATGTTGTTTGTGTCAATTGTAAAGGGTGATGTTTCTCTGATTTCTTTCTCAGCACATTTATTGTCTATATATAGTAGGGCTGCTGAAACCATCTGGCCCTGGACATTTTGGGTTGGAAGACTTTTGATGACTGCTTCCATTTCGTTATGGGTTATAGGTATATTTAAATGTTTATCTGTTCTTAATTTAATTTTGGTAAGTGATATCTATCCAGAAAATTGTCCATTTCCTTTAAGTTTTCCAATTTTATGGAGTACAGGTTTTCAAAGTATGACCTGATGATTCTCTGGATTTCCCCAGTATCTGTTGTTTAGTCCCCCTTTTCATTTCTGATTTTTTTAATTTGCATGTTCTCTCTCTGCCTTTTGGTTAGCTTGGATAAACGTTTGTCTATCTTGTTGATTTTCTCAAAGAACCAACTCTTTGTTTCATTGATTCTTTGTATTG